CTGCACCCTCCCCCTAAATCCGCTCCTGCATAGGCATAACGAGAACGATACATGGGCGGTCTCCTTATGCCATTTCTACTAGTTTTCAGGAGAAAATAGAAACTTTACAGTTAGCAAAACTCGTGATTTCAATCATCATACCTGAAGCCTGTTACCTTGACCGTCAAAAATGCCAGTGACGCTTCGTCAACGCCCGAGTACAGATCTCGTATCTGTTAAAAAGAAAACAAAGGTTATGAAGAAAATCAACGAAACCTCTCTTTATTCCAAATTTAAAGTTTGGCACATGATTAAAACGTATATGGTGACGTAGCAAAGAATTTGTACCGATTTTTCCAGTTTCCCGGCAAGACTCTTAAACGCAGCACTGCCAGTATTTTTCAGGTCATCACTCCATTCCTCTTTAGTGAGCTTCACGGAACCTGCGTATGTCACAGCTGAAAAGTAACAACGTGAGTTTAAGGTCGCAAATACCGAGATATATGTTTTCAAAAAAATGTACTCTTTTTATTAATTCATCTAAAAAATGGAAGCGCCAAAACTTGGGCAAGGCAAACCATGGAAGTAATATATCACTAAACCATTGCAAGGTCCGTGGATACATAATATTTGAGTTTCACAAGTTACGGCCCGATCGAAAAATTTGCAAGAAAGAACGAGAGCTTTTTTTCCCAACTGAAAACTGAACAAGATAGTTCGATAAAGTATTCATTGTTATGTATATTTCAAAACACTGCTGAAAAATCAATGAATCTATTTTCCGTAAAAGCGCGCGACAAAAATTTGACTATGTTCGCCTTTCGTTTTCCGGTCGCTGTTGTAAAGTTTAGCCGAAGTTTTCGTTCGATCGTGAAGGTAAAAATATTCTGTACAGTATTTAAAGAAAGGAATTCGCTGAAACTATTCCGTGAGTGGTGGATCTTAGCGGCCCGTATTACAGACTTCAGACCGTTTAGAGCACCAATCAGAAATCTCCTTTTCATGTTGGACCAATTTGCCATATGATAAGAAAAAAACATTTTAAACTACAAAACTCGTGACACCTGTCGGTGGCGCTGTGCTTTCTGATGATGGTATACTGGTGGGCATGTCTGTTGGGCGCAGATCTAAACAAAAAAAAAACGAACAAAACAACATTAGGTCTTACCTCATACACAGATTAAGATAATTGCCAATGTATCGCTCTTCTAAGGACTGTTTCTAATCTGAGTTTTAAGACAACATGTAGTAACAGTGATAGAGCGGTTTTCATTTGAGCGTCGAAACTGATTCGCATTGGGCTGGGCCGGAGCAGAGAGGGGGTGGGCCATCAGTTTTTGAGCCCTTGGTAAGGGCTAAAGTAACAGCTAAAGTAGAGTAAAGGAAAACAAT